AGCTGCAATTAACAAAAGGAATAGTAGCATGTTCAATGCTGAAAAATAGACCTTCAAGTTTCAATGACAGAATGTAGCTCACTGTGGAAAAATCACGCAAACACAAAACTTTATTTCAGTTTCTACATCTCACATAAATAATCATGAAAAGGAGTTTGGTGAAAGGAGCGAGTTCGAATATGTAGATAGATAACCATCGATACTGAAAGAAGAATTCGTAGATGGAAAAAGCAAGCAGTAATCATAAACACTCATACAAAGCACGGGTAATTAATTCTAACAGTAAGTAAGGTGAGAAACGAAATTAAAGGAAGCTTTGCAAGGGGAAAATAAATTTGCATCACACAATGGGTCATAAAAAAATGCACCCAGTAAAGTAGCCTTGCAAAAAAAGGTGAGGGAAAGAATGGCTGTTGGTTGTTATCCCTCATACTTGCTTGGTTGCCTTTTTTTCCGTATTTGTGTACATGTGTATGTGTATGTGTGTGTGTGTGTGTGTGTCTGTATCTAAGTTCTATCTTTTACAAAAAAAACTGTGGGTTTGGTACAAACAAAAGTTGGGAAGAAGAAAAGAAATAGGGAGAATTCGGCAAATGAAAAATATTGTGCCGAAATTAATATTGCCTTAGAAAATGTGTATATCCATTCTCATCCCTGAACCAGCTAATGATTCGCAAAGTTTTTTAATTACAATGTGTAGCATTCGTGAGAAAACGAAATCTGGCAGAACTAATTTGTCCGAATTTTGCGTTATCAAATCAGGCAAAGTTGATTTACATGATTCACAACAACTAGTTTCGAAATCAGCTCTGCATTATTCTGACCTCTTCCGAATGCAATGCGTGAGCTTCCTCGAATAAAAAAATGATACCAAGGATATTCCGCTCAATATGACGACATTCATGCAAAACAACTTGCTTACAAGATCAAGAATGTTTGTGTCGAGCTGCTGATCCCAAGGAATTTGAAAAGTGAACTATGCAACTCATAGTTATTAGAACAAATATCAAATTATGAATATTTCTCTTTTTCAAAAATGTGAATCATCAACCGCTCATCACTGAAAAACTAAAAGCTCGTACAGGAAGTAGTAGAAGTGTAAAAATAGACTAACCAAACGATGTTCAGCATGGTTTTGAGATTATTTCAGTCAAACTTCAGCTTTTTGTCAGGCTTGACGTAAAAATTGTTAGAACGAGAGAGACTTACTTCGAGAACTATAACCTCAGAAAAATAGGTATCGAACAAACTAAGCATTTTAAATCCTTAACTTTCAATTAATAGCTCCTCGATCGAAATATGCCAAAACCTGTTACATCATTTGGCTTTCCAAATTCCTTAAACAAACTGCTTGATTGAAAAGAACAAATGGATGATCTAATTTTGACAACAACTTTTTAGCAGAAGTAATCAGCTAGAATGGCTTCTACAAAATAATTAATCTTCGTTTCGTTGCTATCATTACTATCATTATGGCATTCCACAACTAACTAATTGAATCACTAATGCAATACCATTTTTATTAGCAGAGCTCAGTCGAAAAATAATGAAAGTAAAGAGGAATTCAACAAATACGAAAAGCAGCACTGTAATTTCTTTTGAGTTACCAGCTACTTTTTCGAGCATTAAGTGTCAAAAAAAATTTAAAATGTACTAATGACTGAATTAGATTTACTGTAATAAACTTCAGACGCGATGAACAGATAGTTGCAGAAGCGAAATACGAGGTGGACAAGGAAAATGAGAAGGATATCAACAACAAGATAGTTAAGTACATCAACTTACAGGCTGTAACCTGCCCCACGGATGACTACTGCTTCAAAAAGCCATCACACACATTACATCCATCAACGCTTCCATCGTCTATCCATTCCTCTGCTCAAATGTACAAGAACATGACAGAAGAAGATTGGATGAAACCTGCCGAAGTGCGACACGCCCTTTTTCCGTTACTTCTCACAACGTCAAATTTATGCTTGACCCATTATACCAATAGAAATAGCTGGGGAAAGCATGGAAATTCATAGAATGTTACTATCCTTCACACACATACACACACACACACTTAAGAACACTCAAATACCGAGTGCACTTGCCTCACACATCTTTCCATTGCCAGCTAATTCGTAAATAACAAGATGTATTAACTTTTCAAAATATTAACAACAAATCATGCGATGAATATGAAGGGAAGTTTTGTGACAAATCTTGAAATAAGCACTTAAGAGATAAGCTGATAAGCAGGTAGTAAGTACAGACCCTCCGGGCAAACAGCTACGTCAACAAGCAAAAATCAACCACTAACACTTCTTTGCAGAAATGCTAACTCCAATGACCTAGTGAAGTTTGACCATAGTAATGATGCCACCAAGCTTCTTTTCAAAATCCACTTCAGCGCATCATGATGTCTAGCATGAATATCAAGAAATAAACAGCATGAAATTGAAAAATAGTTGCTTACTGATAAATCTAAATGAAGGCTTTCATTCAAATGAACTTCAAAATGATCACTGTCTGCCAATTCGAATTCGTTATTAACACAACAGCTATAACATAGAACTCGAATATTATACTACAACACATTAAAATCAAATAACGACAAATTTTTGGCATAGAAGGATAATAAAAAAAAAGATGAAGGAATGATACTAGAAAAGTTTTGTTTTGAATTACTAAAATTAAGGACAATCGTTTCATTTAATTTTGGCAAAACTGTTTTCAGTTTTTTCAGTATGAAAAGAATTATTAATGGTTGGTTTAAATAATTAAACTAACACATTCTTAAAGCATGGTTTCAAATTCCTTCTTCTTGAAGAACTAAATTCGCGTGATTGCAATATTGTTTGGCTAATTCTAAGTATTCATAACTGATAAGAGAGAGCTTGAAAAATGTCTAGACGGTCCATATAGATTTCGACTTTATTTTCTTGGCGCCAAATTTTTATCCGTAATTTATGATGAAAAAGTAATAAGAAAAGATAGTTTTAATCATGGAAAAATTTATCTTCTTGGAGACAGAAGAATGAATGTGACGAATCAAAAAAGAAGTTTACTTGAGATGATTATATGAGGGACAAAGCCCTAAGTAATTCTTGGTAAAATTCGAAACTGGAATCTTTCAAACCAATCATTTCGCTACATGCACCTTGCAAATTTAACATCATAACACATATTGATGGTACATATTTTTCATCTCTGTTTGATATATCCACAAATTACCATCAATAAAGCTTACGCTTATATGTAGATAGACAAAAATTTACAGATGGATATACACATGCCTCCACAAGCAAACATTTACATACATTCGATAGTGATGTGCAAGAAGAGATATGTGAAAGGACTAGTTCTGAGAGCGTCTATTTTGAGTAAAACTTAAATACAAGTAACTACCATCTTCTTATCCTGCGCAACCATCATCACACTCCTTTCGGTACCAAAATAATTTCAATCTGCGTAGCATATCGAGGAGCATTCCATTTAAGATTTTTCGACAAGCAGTAAAGTCCAGTCTCTGAACAGGTTACTTGATGTGCTCTCGGCTCTTCCCGCTCACAAATACATACACTGCAAACTACTATTCAAATTTCAACATTTCTTGTTTCCATGCCCATCCATGCATATATCAAGCTGGTTCTTTACATTTTAATGCTATCCAAAACTGGACCCTAACTGAAGGTGACCTCCTTTTCCCTCGCCTACCTATCTGTTTTATCGTGTGAGTGCTCATCTCACTCGTCACGAATATTATCATTATGATCTAGATATTTAACGTATTGCATTTAATAAAAACACATAAAAACATTGAAAATTACTGCTTCAAGATTAGCTTAGAGAAGAGGAAAGAAATGTGAACAGTGTAATGGGAGAAAAAATTGGTAGTACTCTATAATTCCAATATCGAATATAGCATGATTGCATTTACTGATCTATGCTTTGAAAAAAGAGCGTGACGCTTGTACTTAATTACTTACAATGCGTAATTAGTCATGATAACACACATCAAAAACAAGTGTTGCTTCAAGTTGCATGTTAGCAGAGTCATTTAGGTTTAAAAACAAATAGCTCTATTCAAAAAATACTACAGAGGAACAGTTATAATGAAGAACAAAAGTTAACACAGCAGTATTATAAAAATATGTTCAAAGTTTCAAATTTAAAATTTAGAGAAAGATGAAAGATGGTAAGGAAGCAATTTGAAATGATGGAACCCGCCAAGTACAATTTTTAGAAATGTTTAGAAAGGAAGGAATTTTATAGGACAGAAGAGATTTAGTGAGGACGAAAGGGACGAGCGTAAGCAGAGAGAGTTGGGAATGAAGTTAAGGAGAGGTACTGGTAACGATCACTTTTATTAGACGAAATGTCATACTTTCAGATCATTTTGCTGAAATTAAATTGATGGGAGTTGGAGAAGGAAAATAAGAATGGAGGGAAACTATAACGAGAAAATAACATGATAAGCTTCAAAGTATATATTACAAGCAATATCTTTATCGAAATGTATATACATTGTACTTTAATTGTGAATATATATTCACACTTTGGCAGTTATAAGGAGATATTAATACAAGTTTAGAAATTAACTGATTGTTTTCTTGACGAAAAGAAATGCAGTTTAAGGATGAAATAATTTAACAGAGCAATTGGCGCAGACTACTAAAGATCCGTGTTATTTGAGGTAGCAGCGGGTAATTTTGGAATTCAAAACATAAGAAATACAGGTAGACAACTGAGCTGTATAGACCCTGCTCCACTTGCCTCCTTACGATTACCATTTCATGGTCCTTATTCAACCAGCACCTCTCTTCGCATTGCTCTCATCTCCGGAGTGACATACCTATTTTCAACAGTCAAATTTTTGATGCAAAAACCAGATCTCAGTTCCGCCATTCTTCCCTCATTCTTACCTCCTTTGTTTCGTTTTTTTCTTCTTTTCCAACTTTCCTAACAGCTCTTTCATTCTTTGCTATGCATCAGACTTATTCTTAATCATCTAAATATCATTGATAAATGAGCTCTTTCTCAACCAGCTTCTCTCATGGATCTACTATCTGTCAGACTGCTACAAATAGTCCATATAATAAGCATCTTCGAAATCGTCTGATCTGCATGAACATTTATTTACAAACTTCACACTACAATTTCTTGCTTAATGTGCTGCTGAAGTGCCTAGAGTATATCCAAATATTTAATAATATTTAAAACATCTCTAAATATTACTGAAAAAGAAATCTAATGCTGATAAAGATTAGTGAAAAGATTGGATTAGACATAAATGTTTTTTATTCTCATCTGACGGATTAATAGTGAGTAGGTTATTGACATGCGGCAAATATAAGAAAAGAAACAAATTAATGTTTAGTCTGTGCAGTTAAATTGAATTTAAAAAAAACTGCCTTTTGCAGTCAGTTTTGGTGATAAAAGCAATTACAACTAGAATTGATGGCTTTCTGAGGAACAAGTAAGCAATAATGAAGAGATCCGATCAGGTTTTCACCCTTTTTATTGAGTAGAAAGAAATGTGATTTCAAGAGAAAGGCGCGCGAAGCAAGAGATTATCTCTTTGTTTTACCTGTTTGAAAGGTAAGTTTCTCATCTGCACTGCTTAGTCCCTTCAAACTTTTCTCAGTTACTTTCCCTTCTGTTTCTCTCCAAAACATTCCCTGTATGTATGTTCCGTACGGATTATTGAAGCTATTCATTGCAAAACTATTTTTCTTTTTCTTCTATGAATGAAGCAATGAAAATTACGCATCTACCGCTAGTTATTCTTGCTTATCATTGCTATATAAAACTCTTTTTTGCAAAATGCTCCACCTTAAATTACACAAATAATTCTCATCTTTCACCCTATTAATATTTAAATTATGCGTTTGGTAGCAATACTTTAAAAAAAAATGGTCATTCTATTAGATTCTTATTCAAAAAATTCTGCTCAAAAAACTATTCATGAATTTCTATTTACTAAACTTTCATTGCAGAACAGACATTTCAGTGCTTTGCACTGCTGCATATAGAGTGATTTGAAAATTTTATGGAATGCGTTTTAATGTATTCTAAATAGAAAGAGCCAAATATGAAGGAAATGTGTGGACTAGACTGAAAAATCTTACTAAAAATTAAAATATTAAGTTTTTGCCTGTTCTTTTCTTAAGAAATCATCAATAAAAAGAAATATAAGTGCATATATAACTGCTTGCTTTTAAATCAGTGTGAGTCAAATAATATCGTCGAAACAAGAAGATAAAACTCCTAATGCAATTCCTTTCAACAATTAGTATTGTAAAATAAAAGTCTCATATGTTTAAGGTAACTTTTATCACTCTGTTTTATATTAAAGCATTCCAAGAAGTCATTCTCTTCAGTAGCTGCTACAGACGCTTTTCCACTTTTCAATTTAAAATGCTTTTTTCCGGGTTATTCAAATTCAAAATTTGGCCGCAGCCGCTATTGTTGGTATTTTCCGGACAGCACTATTAGCTTTCAGTAACAAACTTTATTACTTGTTTGTAAGTTTAAGAAAATCTTAGTTCGTACGTTTATTATTTGTTTAGCAGTTATAAGAACTAATGGTATGCAGTGTAAAGTTATCACATTCAATCAAATGAAGAAATTATTACATATGAGTAATTCTCATACTTCTGTGAATAGTATTTAATGTGTTTTGAGAAGGATAATGAAGAGAAATAAAAAAGTAGTTGACAGTATTTTTCTCAGTAGCTATATTTTACTTGTAAGTGACTAACTTTATGCTTAAATTACTTGATATCAACTTATTTTTAAACTTTTGACATATTTAGTTATCGAATTTCAGCCCTTTCATTTGTCATGAAATAAGCCAAAATACAATAATGGATATGAGTAATGACAAAACTAACAATTGGGGTGGAGCTTTTCGACAAGGCTTTTTATGCCCATTTTGTATGGAAGACTTGGGTGATTTGACTACTCTTCATGCTCATGTTGAAAAATACCATCCAAGACCAGTATCCGTTGATAATTCTCTGGATCATATTAAGGGTAAGTTCTGCAACATTTCTGTTACAATCTAAAGTTTTTCATTTTATCTTTTATAGGGATTATGATATGAATTTACTTGTTTTGTTTGTTTTTTATACAAATAATAGAAATATGTATTAGTACGTGTTGATGGTAATATTTGAGATTTTAAAGAAGAGAACTGAATTAATTGCTTTCCATTTTTTTATAACACATAATTTCATTCAAGGAATTATTGATAAAGCAAAGCAGAAAATATTGCATATAGATAATACGTCTTTTTCAACTGGTGATGCTAACTCCAGTAATACTGTTACAACTGTTAGCAGTTTTCTTACGACGATTAATGGTCGTGAAACCGAAAAATTCTCTTCATCAAAACACAGATTCAGTTCATTGCAGGGTCTTGGTAAGTGCCACACGAAACATTTTGGTTTGAAAATAGGGAATAAGAATTGTAGTTGAAAAATTGTGGTAGTTCATGAGAAATATAAAGTCTGAGTTTGATAATAAAATTTCGTCTTTTGATGGCTGCGACTTTCTTCCTGATTTTTATACTTCTAACTATCATATTTTTTGTTCTTTGTTTTTTCTCTTTACAGGAATTACTAGAAGTCATACGAATTTTTACCTGAAATGCCGCGCTCCTTGCATTAATGATGTTGCTGTAAAAACTAATAATTTGATTATCAGACTTGATAAGTTGATTAATCAAACCCCTTTTGATTCGAGCAAGCGTAAAGGTTGGTGTATTCATGTGTGCATGTGTTTGTCTGTGCTATTCGAATTTCACTGAAAAAAGTCTTATTGCAGTAATTATTGGTTTTTATTTTAATTCAAGCTTTAGCAGAGATTATTTTGTTCCGAATGAAATATTTTCAGCTTTTGAACGAGAGACAGTGCCCTGGAAAATGGATTGTGATGTTTTGAGATGTCAGACATGTTCAGCAAAATTTTCATTTACCAGAAGAAGACATCATTGTCGGTTATGTGGTGAAGTCATATGTCATATTTGCTCGAAGTTCTTCTCATTTATTGATGCCCGTTAGTGTGTTTTTAAGCATTCTAATCTCGGAAAGCATCATTAATATGTAAAATCACGTGTTAAAAAAGTATTAAAGTTTGAAACATCCAAATTTCTTTTCAAGTTTTCAGGCAAATTGACAAATCCAGCAGTTGCAGCTCAGTTATTAGAAGAAATAAATAATCCAGATATACGTGTTGTTAAGGAGTCATCGAATGCCTTGCCACGTTCTGCATCTGTTGCTCAAACGCTAAGGCAAGCTGTATCTAGTGAATCTTTGCAGTCAGTGCGTTTAAAAAGTGAAAAATTACTTACATCAACTTTATCATTAATAAAACGGGACGATACTGAAGTCAGTTTAACGTCGTTACTTCTGCAGGTTATTTTGATTTACTGATAAATCTAATTCATGCATTCTGTTCTAAAAATTTATTGAAATCTGTGTAACAGTGGTTCATTTCATGTTTGCAAGTATTCATATTTCGAATACTCTACTTTACACTTCATTATTACTTCATAGTTTTTGCGTATTTGGAGTAGTATGGATTGAACTTTGTGCTTAAAACTTCTTTTTTGTCATAAAAATATTGCCTGTTAATTATTAGAATGTTGTTAAGTGTATTTTTAGGATGGGAGTGAACATCTTCGAATTTGTAATGCATGCAAAACTTTGTTGGATGTTCGTAACGAAAAAATGGAGATGGCTATTTCACCGCCTATGCTTGTTGTACTTTATGAGCGTCTGTGTTCTCTAATTCATGATGCCCAGAAGTTGCTCTCTTCTTATGTGCGTATTTCAGAATCGTTAAGGTAGGTATGAGGTGTTGATGGTTTGCATATTTTCGTGCTCTTTCTATTGTGTCTGTATTTTGCTTTACAAGTTAGCCACAATTTTAATTCTTAATGTAAAGAAAAGCAGTAAAGGACTAGTATTGCTCTCTTTTTCAGTCGAGGGGAAGTAATGTATACACTGGATTCTGCTGTACAACTAAGAGAACGTTTAATACGCTTACAAAAAGAAATTGATTCTGTCAGGTTAAAAATGTCATTATTTTGATCAGCCATTTTTTATTGGTGCTTCACGTCATTTCTGAATTATTTTCAGTTCTGGAATGGAAAAACTAAATAATGGTGATGAAAGTAAGTCAAACCGGCTCACTTGTAAGGAGCAAATTATCAGAAAAAATATCCGGGAGTTCTGTTTGACAATTTTGCAGGTTTTCTATCATTTGTATTGATAATAGCATTATCTGATCACTTTTTAACAATATTCCGTAGTAATTGCTTTGTGCATCTTATATTTTTATTGAAATATGTAACTTGTATTTTTATTATAGACGAATTTTTGTTATTTTCAAGCAATTGGTGGCACAGATGAATCTTCATCCAACTGAGGACCAGTATCAAGAATTATTGGAAAAAAGACGTATCGATATAAAGCGTCGAATAGATATGGAGAGAAAAAGAAACGCACTCATTTTAAAGGTTTTTAGGTTCAGTTAAAATATTCAAACATCATTATCATTGCCAACGTTTCTTCTTTATATCCACTTACTTGAGATGTGAAAATTTTTTTGACAAAATTTCTCATATCCTATTTGCAGCCATCAGCTTCAAATCCTGGTTTTGATTCACATTTGTATGAAAATGAAAATAGCAGACAAAATTCTAATGGCCACTTAAAAGAGTCAGTTTCATTTACTGGTATTAGTGGCAGTGGGGATGATGGCTGGACTCCTACCAGGATGCTTCTACATATTAACCCATTTATTGAAGAAGAAGACCAAATTGATCCATTGCAAGAACAGATTTGGATAATAAAAGGGTGAGTAGTTACAGCAAAAGAGATTATGAGTAGCTATGACATATTGGCGTTAAGTTCGGAGTAGAGTTCTAACTTGGGAAACAAGAATGTATTTGCAGATATTATTTTCAGTTTTCATTGTAATATGTTATCATATATTACATTTTTTGTTAGGTACTTGAAGCAAGCTGTGGAAGATGGTCGACTGGAAGAAGTCGAAATATTAGAGCAGAACTTACATGACCTTGAATCTGAGTTTGAAAAGCTTAATAAGGATGTTGTGGTTCAAACACCATAGTAATTTTGTTTCCATATCACTGCAATAATCTCTTTCTTCAAATTTCGCGATTGCTTCATGCTGGTTGAACTGTTTCATGTTTATTATTGTATGCAAATTGATTTATAGCTGTGTACATGTGTATATTTGTTGACCGAAGGGTTTATTTTATTTTTTCTCTTCCACCTTTCCAGTGCATCATTTCGGTTATCTTCGTATTACTTGTAGTAATTGTACTTGATCATAGCACCTCAGTGTAGTTATAGATTAATGTATTTCGCCAGATAATGTTTGGTATAAATAATTGCGTATAGTGTTATTAGTTTATCTGTTTGATTTGTATATTGCAATCCCAATTAATTTATCTGACGTATCTTTTAAATCCTCAACAAGAAAATGTCCAACATTGTACGTTTTGATGAAAATCGAATAATTCCATGTAAATGCATAGAAACGAAAGCAGATGGAGACACATGCATAAGTACACTTTGAATTTAAAGTAGCAATTTCGTTAGTTCATAGTTGGGATCAAAGAATTCGATCCAAGTACCTGTACTTGATTGAACTTGAAGCGCATGTATTACTACTGGTAAAGCAGGTAGCAGCATACCTAAAACTGCAAGTGGTAGGAATCATACAGAAAAAAAATTAAAAACTAGCAGTGGGATTGTACGGAATGATGATGTTTGTTTGTGAATTCTGCGATATAGAGGACAGTATTTGTCGGAATTGTTCAATTTGAGCACGTAGAAGTGACAGCTCAGTTCGTAAAATATGATTTTCATGAGCAAGTTGACAACATCGTATTTGCGTACATTCCTCTTTCTGACGTCGCAATTCTCTAGATTTTCTAGCTGATTCATTATTCCTCAGACGACGCTCACGATACGCCTGAAATTATAACTGGGTGGTGTCATATTTACAAGCAATCAAAGTATGATAGAGTGAACTTGTGGGTCAAAAGCATACGTAAAAATAAAAATAAATAGGAATATATGTATTTGTACATACAGATTGTATTACCAAGATTTGAGGTAATCGTGGGTGATAGACTGTACCTGATCTTCGAAGAAGCACTATTTTTTCGTAATTTCTGGATTATATTATTTTCTCTGTTCTGCTTTATCTGTTACGATGATGTCATGATGTGACTATGAAAGTAAATGACGGAAATACCAGTGCGATTAGTTGCAACAAACTTAATAGTGTCGACTGTCAACGACGCCAAAATGGTGAAAATGGTAGTAATACGGAAAAACATCCCAGCATTCAAATAGATCAATGCACGGGAACGAGTTTCTGAAGGACCTTCCACATCGCAGGCGGCTTCCAAAAAGCAAAAAAAGGTAACAGACCATAACGATAGTGCTCATGCAAGCCCTTATGCATGATGATAATAATTACTGTGTGTTGACTTGGTATGGGACAGTGTAAACGTTATGCAAAAGAAATCAGTGTATCTGATCACGTCGAGGCATATATCCAATCGATAGTGCTCAAGAAAACGGTCGGAAGCATCTCTTTCGATGAGTAACGTGGATTCGACGAAGACGAAACAACGGAGACCAGTACTGAGTGTGAGGCAATTATAATTCAACGTAATATATATATATATAGGAAAGCCGTAATGAATAAATAAGGCAATGTAGCAAAATAATAAACATTACCGCGTCTTTAAGATTCTCTGGTACGGGAGTGGGCTTCTTTTTTGCTCCAAAGGAAGAGAATGTTGATTTGCTTGATCTGCTGTTGGGATGAAGTGAAAGCGTTGAAAAATGTGCAAGAGATACTAAATCGCATGGACGGAGCTGATGTATCATCTGCAGTTATTAATTGGTAGGTCCAATAATTGAGAATGAACATAATGAACCACTGATCTTATGAGGTCCATAAAAAGAGCAGATCTTGTATAACTATATTATACTATGCTTTTTGCTATCAAAAAAAAAATAAAAAATTACTTGTGAATCATTTTGATGAGGAATTGTTAGAGGCAAAGTTGTACATGTATTTGATTGAAATAGATCATTGGTTGTAGCAACATCAGAAGGAACAGTTGAATTGTTTGCAGACCAGCGCATTGACATGGCTTCCTTAGATGGATTGTTTGACCCTCCAAATTCTGCATTCACTACAAATTTCAAACGTTTGTTGTAATCACGCTTCTAATGTTTCAAGTGATTAATTTCGTCAGTTACAAGAAGTCTGTTTTCATTGTTATAACAATTCTTGTTTAAGGAATTCGCTAATATATATTTTCATTACAAACATTTTTCGGAAGGACAGTATTTTAGTGAAGATATAGTAAATGCATGAACTTAAATGAAGAGAATATGATTGTAAAATTTTTTCAAGGTTAAAAAAAATACAATTTAAACATGCTATAATTCTTGAAGCTAAAGATGCTATAACGATTAGTTTCCGTTAGTGACTGTTACGATTACGAGGAACTGTTGAAAAATGTAAATTTCATGTGCATCATACTGACTATCATGCTTTCCTGAAAATATGCAGTGATATTCCAGTCAATACAAAACAAGTTAATAATTTGGACGAGGAATAGAATTAGTTTATAGCTCATATGAAGTTTCAAGGATATAATAACCTAAGATTTTATTTCTTCTAAAAATGGTCATCACTGACTAAAAAAGTGCTTAATCATGAGTGTTAGATTCATTATATAGGTTGAAGCAGCTGATCTTGAAGTTGTGTGAAACTAGTAGAGGTCCACGTAGATAGGCAGGTTTTGTAAGTCAAAACACTTTCTATGAAGGAATGTGGACCAACTGTTTTCATAATCATTATCTCGAGGAGGTCGATGACTAAAATGTGCTTGATGACCGATAACGTGGAAATGATGTCAAATAAGACGAGTTTTGCTTGAATGAGGGGAAAAATCATAATTATCGACGTAAGATGAGAGCATAATAAGGAAGGTAGATGAGAATGGACCCATGTACTCATGCAGCTCTTGCTATTACCTCAGCAGATGCGCAGTTTGCGTCATCAATATTCGGCTTATGTGTATGGCAGAATTATGGAAATAAAGTAAGGTCACGTTAGCAATGTTCTGCATCATCGAGAGTTCTGCATCACGAGGCTTCCTCTAGTTCCAGGCTTTTGAGCAAACCGCGGTCAAAATTGCGTCATCTGAATCTCTCCTTCTTCCCTACCTATAACATCAACCATCTTTTCCTCTAACACTATTGTCAGGCACTGTTTCAATTTATTGAACAAATGCTTATTTTCTTTGCTTTGTAAGCAGTACTTATTGATAACAGAACTAATATTCTGATTACTTTTTATTCTACCAAAGATCCAAAGAACACCAGGAATTTATTGCTGTAAGCTAGCAAACTTCTGATATAACTTATGGCACAATTTCTATCCGTAGAAATAAATTTGGTACATAATTTGGTACACAGTCACTTTCACCAATGCATTAAACAGTAAGAAAAAATTCTCAAAATAATTAATGAAATCCAAATAATTTCCTCTGAAACATTGTTTTAACTTTTTTTCGACAAAAACGATTGGCTACTTTGAAAAATGTGCTGTATTTTAGTTTTCGCAATAAAAACTATGCATTTTTCAAAAGTTCGTAATTCTGCATTCAGCGAAGATCAGACTGCAATATTGCTACAAATACAAAATCTATTGTAATTTTTTCATGATACGAAACATTTCAACGTTGAAGTGCGGATTTTTTTAACAAAAAGTGTATTTGCCAGTTTCTGCTTATCTAGCACAATTTCCCAAATCAAGCACTACGTATTATTGCTAACATAACT